AATGTGTTTTATGAAGCGAGGGTTTGTGTGTTTATTCTCAGGCCAGAGTTTGGTTTTGTTAATGACTCGTGCTTGTGAGCGCTTTATGATGCAGCACAAAAGAGAAATCCGGAAACCTTCACCGCTTGGTCCTCTCCAGCTCTCATGCTCAACGCACCATGTGACCTGCTGGTTGCTAGGCAGTGAAATCTTACAAAAGCTGCCTGAAATTTCTGACCAAAGTTTCGCAGCCGTGCTGCTGCTGATCAGAGATTGACTGAAAGCAGTTACTGTTAAATAGCTGATTACAGCTTAATCAATAACCAGATAAAGAGAGATTCAGTTGAGTGGATCTCGTGAAACCTGCTCAAGAATGTCCAGCACACTAGGGCTGCACAATTAATCGAATTTCTAATCGCGATTACAATTACGGATGCCACAATTACGTAATCGTTCAAAGCGGCAATTAATCGACAAAAACTATTTATTTATTTATTTATCTATTTATTTATTTATTTAAATTAAGCACATTTTCTCCTCCAATTATCAAGACAAAAACTATTTATTTATCTTTATTTATTTATTTAAATTAAGCGCTTTTTCTCCAATTATCAAGACAAAAACTATTTATCTATTTATTTATTTAAATTAAGAACATTTCCTCCTACAATTATCAAGACAAACACTAGTTATTTATTCATTTATTTGAGCACATTTTCCCTCAAATTATCAATACAAAAACTATTTATTCATTTTAATTAAGCACAGTTCTCTTCCAATTATCAATACAAAATGATTTATTTATTAATTTATTTTCATTAAGCACATTTCTCCTCTAATTTCCAATACAAAAACTTTTTTATTTATTTATTTATGCACATTTTCTCCCTCAAACATCAATACAAAACTGTTTTTATTTATTTACACTCATTAAGCATATTTTCCCTTCAATATAAATGCAAAAACTATTTATTTGTATACTTAATAATGGATTTTACTTTCATTAAGTTCATTAAATACATTATTTTCATTAAGCACATTTTCTATATATATGTGTTTATTTATTGATTTATTTTCTTTAAGCACATTTTCTCTTCCGATAATCTATGCAAAGACTATATATGTGTTTATTTATTCTAATAATTACATATTTGTTATATTTGTATTTTAATATTAATTGCATTTGTTTGTATTGACTTTCATGTAAAAAATGACAAACGTAGAATAAATGAAAAGTTGAAATAAGATCCATTCGACGTCTGTTCCTCAGCGAATGTGTTTTATGAAGCGAGGGTTTGTGTGTTTATTCTCAGGCAAGAGTTTGGTTTTGTTAATGACTCGTGCTTGTGAGCGCTTTATGATGCAGCACAAAAGAGAAATCCGGAAACCTTCACCGCTTGGTCCTCTCCAGCTCTCATGCTCAACGCACCATGTGACCTGCTGGTTGCTAGGCAGTGAAATCTTACAAAAGCTGCCTGAAATTTCTGACCAAAGTTTCGCAGCCGTGCTGCTGCTGATCAGAGATTGACTGAAAGCAGTTACTGTTAAATAGCTGATTACAGCTTAATCAATAACCAGATAAAGAGAGATTCAGTTGAGTGGATCTCGTGAAACCTGCTCAAGAATGTCCAGCACACTAGGGCTGCACAATTAATCGAATTTCTAATCGCGATTACAATTACGGATGCCACAATTACGTAATCGTTCAAAGCGGCAATTAATCGGCCACTTATGTTATTCTGCTTAAGATGCGTTTTTTTCTTTCTACATGTTATCTTAAGGGTTTTTCCCCATTATTTTAATTTTAGTTTTAGTATAACATTATAATACATTCATATTTTTACTTTTGTATAATTTAAAGAAGAAACCAATCCAATGTATATTTGACATTTGAGGCTTAATACTATAGAAAAGCACTAAAAGTTTTTCAGTTAGAGTGTTTTCAGCTTTTTTTCATATAAAAATACCATCAAACAATGGTATAAACATCATTCAATGTAAATTGTGATAATCGTAATTAATGATCGCAATTACAATTTCAAGGGAATAATCGACAATTATGATTTTTGTCATAATCGTGCAGCCCCACAGCACACATTTAACCTTAGAACAGAGTTTTTTATTTATTTTATTTTTCAAAAAATTATTTTTTTGTATTTTTCATAAGTAAATTTTCTCCTTCAATTCCCAAATTTAAAAAATATATATTTATTTATTTATGTATTTATCATTAAGCACATTTTCTCCTTCAATTCCCAAAATGTAAAAAAATATATATTTATTTATTTATATATTTATCATTAAGCACATTTTCTCCTTCAATTCCCAAAATTTAAAAAAATATATATTTATTTATTTATATATTTATCATTAAGCACATTTTCTCCTTCAATTCCCAAAATTTAAAAAAATATATATTTATTTATTTATATATTTATCATTAAGCACATTTTCTCCTTCAATTCCCAAATGTAAAAAAAAATATATATTTATTTATTTATATATTTATCATTAAGAACATTTTCTCCTTCAATTCCCAAATTAAAAAAATATATATATTTATTTATGTATTTATCATTAAGCACATTTTCTCCTTCAATTCCCAAATTTAAAAAAAATATATATTTATTTATTTATGTATTTATCATTAAGCACATTTTCTCCTTCAATTCCCAAATTTAAAAAAAATATATATTTATTTATTTATGTATTTATCATTAAGCACATTTTCTCCTTCAATTCCCAAATTTAAAAAAAATATATATTTATTTATTTATGTATTTATCATTAAGCACATTTTCTCCTTCAATTCCCAAATTTAAAAAAAATATATATATTTATTTATGTATTTATCATTAAGCACAATTTCTCCTTCAATTCCCAAATTTAAAAAATATATATATTTATTTATTTATGTATTTATCATTAAGCACATTTTCTCCTACAATTCTCAATACAAAAACTATTTATTTATTTACTTATTTTCATTAAGCACTTTTTCTCCCATTTTCAGTACAATTTTATATTTGTGTATTAGGATTTGTTGCATTATGATATTCATATTCATAACATATTTAAAGTATTAAGCATTTAGTTTAAATAGTTCAACATTTTACCTCTACGTAATTGTATTCATTGTACTGGCATTCATTAAAAAAAAAAAAATTGGTAAAGAATAAAATCAGTATATATAAAATCAGTATAAGTATAGTAGAAAGAGGTATAGGATAAAATAAAAGTTAAATAAAAAATAAAATATATTAAATTATAAAAATAAAATAAAAAAATAATTTTATTATAGAATTATAAGGCAGGAAAAATAACTTTTAGAATAGTGAGAATCTTAATCGTAATAAAAAAAATGAACAATCTTCACATATTACAGAATTTGGAGGGTAAATATGATTAATAGTCATGGAAATAATGTCAAAAAATCATAATGGTCCTACAGAAAGGTGTCTATTTTCTCAGTTCAAAATACACTTCATGTTTTAGTGAAACTGACCACGTTATATGCAGCACTCTGTGTATTTTGTGCAAATTGCATTGTGTTTGTGCAGATGGTCTCCTAAAAGCACTCTCTCATGAACTGACAGGTAAATGGTTTCCACGAGAGGACAGAGAGTGATCTGGCATCCTCTGTGATCGGGGTACAGTAATGATAACGCAGTAATCGCTCCTGCTTCTTCTGAGACGCAGTGTTTCTTCTGATGCACTAACCTCACATTTCCTTCTGCTTTACCTTCATCTCCGAGGCTCAGCTGCTTGTGAATATGCTAATGCGGAGCTGTGGCATTTTAACCGTGCTCTCTCAGTTCACCACATGAATGGGGAAAACAGGGCTGCTTGGCATTTTGTCGGCCGTATATTATATTGGTGGAGGGGAGCGTGTAAAGGCCGTATGAACTGCTTATATAAGAGAGCCGTTTAGCTTTTACAGGGACTAAAACCATCGACAGAAAGGAAAAAGATTAGAGAAAAGAGATTTCAACCCTTTTCTACTGATACAGTACCAGTGTTGATGCTAAATTGTCTATAAATTAATGTATTTAATTTCTGCTCAATTAAAAAAAAGCGTTTTTGCATAAAGATTAAATATTCAAACATAGGAATAAAACTAGCATCATAGTCAGGATTTAGCAGTGTTATTTTAATGTAATTGAAATAGTTATACTTTTTAATAATATAAATTCTTTTTTTTTTTCGTTTTAATTTCATAGTTTTGGTGATTTTGTTGTTTTATCCGTTTTTTTAATCATTTTAAATTTATATAGATTTTATTAATTTATTTCTGTTATTTAAGTACATCAAGTTCAACTAATGAAAATAAAATGTTTGCTTTTTTATATTTCTTTTTTTCTGCTAACATGTTTTTTTCTATTTTCCACTTTCATTTTAATTTTAGCTAAAGTAAAAAAAGAAAAGTTTAATTTTATCCAGTTTTAAAATATATCTATACAAATTTTACTCATTTTTATTTCAGTTTTAGTTATTTTAGTACATCAAGTTAAACTAGCTAAAATAAAATATTTACTTTATTCTTTTATTCTTTATAAAATTTCATTTTATTTCTGTTCTGTTTTTTTTTCTATTTTCCATTTTCATTTTAGGTAAAGTTCTAGTTATTTGTTGTTTTATCAGTTTTAGTAAAACACAATTTAAAACAACTTTTGCCATTATATTAAAATGCAGTTTGCTGATTTTGTTTTTATTAAATTCTCAAATATAGGAATTAAACCAGCATAATAGCATCACTCAGCCGTTATTTTAGTATCACTGAGATACTGTTGTTGTTTTTATTAATATTTGTTATTATTTTTTATTTTTCTATTAAATTTTAATTTTAGTTAAAGTTTTAGTGATTTTGTTGTTTTATTCGTTTTTTTAATGTCTGTATAGATTTTTATTAGTTATTTTAGCACATCAAGTTAAACTAAATAAAAACGAGAAATGTTGCTTTGGCAACTAGCTTAAAAGTTTATTTTTTATTATAATTACTATAATTTATTATACATTTTATAT